AATTTCAGGTATGGCGACAAATGGCAAATTGGTGATATTATCGGTATAAGCATAGATGTTGACAATGAAAATATTGAATATTTTCGCAATGGAAATTCGATGGGCGTCGCTTTCAGTAAATTGGAACGTGGGCCTGGAATTTCATTTTTTCCCGCCGTTTCACTTGGTTACAATCAGGGTATCCAAGTAAATTTTGGAAATATGCCATTTAAATATCCAGTTGAAGGATTTCTGCCAATTCAAGCCAAACCCATTGTACGTTTACAAAAAGCCGACCTGTTACTTAGTTATCTTGCGAATTTGGCTACTGTGTTGGGGCACAATTCAACTTGTAAGAAAAAGGATCATATCGAGGGAAAAATATCAACAAAGAAAACAGTTTATGTTGTCTTTGCCACACTGCTGATTGAGAAATTAGCACAAGTATTGTTCGACCCATACGTGATCGAGGACAAACTGTTACCGCATATTGTTAACTTGTGTACGATTGTCAAGTAAGTTACAACTTTTTTATGTGAAACAGTTGTATTAATTCCAATATTACTGAAAGGGAAACCGATAAGGAACCAGATATATTCCCGGGCACTCCTGAGAGCACTTTAGGGGCTCTACTCTCGCTTTTGTGGAATTATTTAGAAAATGAGGAGGTAAAATTTATAATGCGTAAGCTTGCGAATGCTTTGCTGTCGACCTATACTCACACACATGTTGGTCTGGATTACGAGAAGCAAAAAAGTGCCATAAACGTATTCACCTGCTTGTGTAGGCATATGCAAACGCGTAAAACGTATCTGGAATATAAGTTCTTCAAAAAACATTGGTAACACAAATTTCTTAGACATACGTAACTTTTTCTTCTTAAGTGAAATGGCTAATAAATGATTTCCAGTTTGGCTTTGCTAATGTATATACGGCCACCAGAATATAAGTTCATGCAGCAGCTGGTGCCCGACTCCATTGCATGGACGGAAGGTCAGATGTTAAAGAAATAGATAGTATTAAAGTAATCCACTTTTTATCTTACAGGTATTGGCGGCCCAAAGCAGAAATATCTTTCGCAAGTGGATAGAATTACCAAAGCAACCGAAAGTCTTTATAATGTGCAGAAAAATCTGTTAATACTACTTTTCACTAATACGGATGGAGACGAATTGACGCCGTCGAGTCGAAAAATATGTATATCCAAGTTGCGCCGCTACGTTATAGATCTTAGTATGGAGCAGAGAGTAAAGAAACAAAACATCATTCTATTTTGCCTGTAAATTGCATTATACTTCATTTTGCCCTACAGCCTTTCCATTCGTTCTTCCTTATGCAATCTAGCATAATGCATCCGATCGAGTCCACAGTGGCACTCTCATTTATTTGCATGCTCATAGATGCCACACGCACATTGTTCGAACGTGAATTGCCTGCAACACAAGCGGAAATCAAACCGGACTACTTCTTTGATGGCACTTTTGAATATCAACATTTCGATCGTGTAGGCGGTGTGTTGTCTCATTTACGAAAAGTACATCGTAACGATATAACAACATATTTGGGTGCGGAGCGTACGCAAGTGTTGCTACAAGAAGATCGTGCCGTGATGCGAGTTGGAGAGTTGGGTGAGTTGATGGTAACAAAATGTAGGTGGATGCAGGTGCATTGAATCTGAAATTTTTTTTTCTCTTTCAAGTTGATCCCAGCATGTTTTTAACAACAACAAACCTTAACAATATTGCGGTTGTTGGTCCGCAAGGGTGGGTAGAATTCTTTTTTGTCTATGCTTATTGTTTGTAATATAGCACGATCTCCCTTGCAGCCCCTCTGCAACTTTTACACATTTCTTTAATCCACGTTTGAATCCATTGCCAGAAGCTTTGCCGGGTAATTGTGATGCAGAGAGTTCGCTATCAGAGTTATTTGATATTTGTGTGCTCTACTATTATTCGCTGGGACATAAGTACACTGTAAAGGTGCTGGGCATTATGAGAATTTTTTCCCTTTCCAAGCTAAATTCATATTACTTTATATACTTCACACTTTACTTATTGTCTTAAATAGATTTCATCAGTACGAGATGAAATAGCTGCCCTAAATGAAGTTCTGCGCGAAACCAAATTCTATCGCGAAGACGTTGAACGCAAGCTGAAGGTGTTGGAAGAACATGCGAGCGTTTGTATGAATGAAAATCATTGTAATATTGTTACGGATTTAAAACAGAAATTTAGTCAACGCGAAAATGTCTTTGCAGTAAATATACATAAGTGTATATTAAATGTTTGTAATAAAAAATAATTTGCTTAATTCTTTTACAGAAACGTTCTATTGAGTTGGCGCGCAAGCAGGCGTGGTATCGCGCTGTAGCGCTGGGGAAACATCGTCGTATGACCATTGTGTGGTTTCTGGAAAGAACTCTGCGTACTTTGGATGTAAAAAAAATAGTCTTAAGTTGAATATTTGACTTTGCAGGAGTATTTTGATTACATACATTCACCCTTAAGCTTTCCTAAAATCGCCGTGCATTGCTTAATATTTGAATTGCATATCCTCTAACAATTCCTTGTTTCTCTTCTATAGGCGTGCTCACAATTGGGGCCATTGTTCTCATTTGTACCTGAAGTGTATATAAATATACTACCCATTTTACTGGATACAGTTATGGATTTTAGTCATCATGATCTGCATGTGCAGTTTGAACTAAGTGGTACTTTATACACCCCTGTTTAAATGGATCTTTAAAAATTATACTGTTAATTTATATTTAATTTTCAGATGCCGAATGTGCTGTCAATGCGTCAGCTGAATTTCTAGGCTTACATTCCGCTGATCCACGCATCATCTTGGCTTCATGCAAGGATTCGTTACTGCAGGCTCTTGGCACGTTGACCTGTCATAAAACTGGTGTTCGTGCTCTGGAACAGTCACCAAAGAAAAGGTTCTGCGAATGCAAAATTTCTTCATTAGCTTTAATAATTTCTTCCCCAAACTCTTCACAGCCAAAATGCGCTGGTCAAATCGCTCTTGCGTCCCTATGAAAATCGCGCTTGGGGTCAAAGTAATTGGTTGCTTTTGCGTTTTTGGCTTGGTGATGGCTTTGGCTATCGCGATTCCCGACAGCCCAGCATCTGGCAAGGCGGTAATCAGCCTGTACAAATAGGACTTTGTCGTAGTCGTGCCAAAAATGAGACGCATACCGGTCT